CCTTTTAAGACATGAAAAACCAAATTCTAAGCAGCTAAGTCACAAAATACACTCCATTTGCATGTACTTATACACAAATGACAAGCCGAAGTAGCCCTTCTCACCATCTCTGTGATTGGCCAGTACCCTTCTTCTCCAATCACCTCAGCCCTGCTCAGACAGATCTTTGCTGGGTGCTGGAGAGAGGAGCTGCTCAGGATGCACCATGTCTTGCACACTACTTGCTGCTGCCACTGAGGGCCTGGAGGCTGGGTGGTGCAGGTGGTCACCTTGCAAACAAATGCTGCCAGGTCTAGGGGTCACTGACCACATCCATGGCACCCAGCCCCAGTGCATCATCCTTGGAAGCATAACACCTAGGACACCCTCCACAAACCAGGAATGACCCTCCTCCCTGATGGTCACAGGAGGCTGTAATGGAGCTATCCCCCTAGTCCCGAGCAGGAGAGGCAACACAAAGTCGCACAAAGAACATCTGCCCTGTCATCATGCTGCCTGCCTTCCTCCAAGATCAGAGTGGTAAGAGTACCAACAAAATGTATCTATAAAGGGACTATGTGTTTTCACAGGAGGAACGCCAACTGAGATATGGTACTAGCTGCAGCAGTCACCACATGAAAAATCCCCTGTGGCAACACCCAGGGCATCTACACAGGAAGTATCACAGTCTAACGTTTGAAAATGCCAAATCATACGCACTCTTCATAATAAGGTTTTTTATAGAAAGCAAGGGGAAAGAGGAAAAAACCTACCCTACACTTAATCCTTGCAAGACAGAAGGTCTGTATGCACTGGAGGCCAGACAGTTTGCAGGTTTGTAATTCTATTGAGAATTTTCAAACGCAGGGGGAGGGGAGGAAAGATTCTGTATCACCTTAGCCTCAAAGTATAGCTATGCAAGGAATTACACCTCAATTCAGGCTGTGTTTTCCTCTCTATATACATTTATCAACTCTAGCTTCCTTGCTTATAATTTATTCAGCTTGCATACATCATGCTATTTCTTTTTAATTTGTATGCAAGCCCTCTATAGACTCCTGCCCGACTCTTATTTTGAATATACTCTCATGTAGCAGCCAGACACTCATGCAAAGCCCTGTAACACGTTCACTTGGTATTCCCTATAGATGAAAAACAGCCTTAGCAAAGAAAATTAAGTTATAAGCTGTTTAGTCAGAATTCTTTTTAAGCCACTGCATATTTGTTGCAAAAATGGCATGACTCCTAAAGAACAACCAGTGTCATAATTCCTTTGAAACTTCTATTCCCCAGGCATATGGGTGTTGCACATGGGATTCTACTACATTAAATCCACTCAGTTGTTCCCTATTATTTTTCATTCATGTATCAAACTAAATGGTCTCAAGTCTAATGCCCATCAAAAGACAATGCAGTATGCCTTCAATTAAACCCATGGATTATAAATTTCCTATTCAGGTTAACAACCTTGCAAGTAGTCAAACCCAGAGACCAAAACCTGACAAAATGACACTCACCTAAAACAAAGGGAACTTCATTGCTTTGAGGTGCTCAGAGAGATTTTCTCTCAAGTTGTCAAAACTAAATTACCAGAGGAGCTGAAGACTAAATTTAGACTCTCCAGGGCTGCATCCATCCATAACCTGGGGTTTTTGGCACATCACTACTACAGCAGGCATTCAGAAAGCTCAGGGGACACTGCACTTTGCTCGGCCTACTTAGCAGAGACAAAAACACATCTAAGACTCCCAAAGAATGCAAATACTTTATGACTAAGCCAGCCTCTTCTTTTGCTGCTCCTCATCCTAGCAGCTCTGTTCCTGTAACTGGCAACTGGGGAATAGGCTGGTATTGCTACAGCATATGCATTATCAAAGCTTCTTCTCCACAATGAGAGAAAGGTCTGATTGTTTTTTCTGTCATTATGAATTGTCATGGTGAGCTTTAGGTACGTGCTGAATAAAGCCTTTATTAAAAGGCAGAATTTCACATTATTCCTTCTTGCTTAAGCTCGGAATGTTCAGAATTATTGCTAGGTTGGCTGCAAAACACGGGCACCCATGAGGTCTCATATGCAGGTGCTGAACACAAGTGTATGCCACATCTAGGTAGCTCACGCCTCCTAAAAATAATGCCTTCCAGCTTTTCATTCAGATTTAACCTCTCCCCTTTCCCTCCCTTGCTTTTTCTGGTCTTGCACTAAGCTTTTTCTGGCCTTCTGATTGCTCCTTATTAATATAAATGAACAAGAACTGAATAGTAATGTAACAGCATGACAAATCTTCATGCCCTTTTCTAAAAAAAGAAGAAAAGGTCTACATGATTTTACAGTAGGTTATAAAAATTCAGTTACAGTGGCTCTGTAGCTCCCTGCTAATGCTGTGAAGTGCTTCATGGTTGTAAAGCATTTCCCACATATTCATTCTCTCTGAATTCCTGGGGAAATGCTTGTATTTTATGGAAACTAACATTAAGTTGCATGAAAGCTGCCAATGCTTCAATGAACATCCGCCAAAGGAATGCCAGAATGAATTACGTTGGTCATTCTCAAACTACAGTCCATATCATGCTTGCCGGTGCTCTTCCTGTCAGTTGGTCATTTGTGCTACTGTCCCCATAGTTTCCATCCTGTAAACTGTATTGTATGTACATTAAAGAAAGTACTTTGAGTTTACATGGTAAACTATATATATATGAAATACAGAAAGATTCCCAAAGCTTCTTGTTCATCTATCTTCAATCCCTACATGTGCATGTCTTACATGTGAGAAACTGACTAATCAGTCTCAAATAAAAAGGACCTAGTCCATAAGACTACCGTGGTCTAGTGTCTGCAATAATCTAGCAGTTCTTAGATTCACCTGCTCAGAGAACAAATTCCCTTGGACTATAGGGTACTAAAATGCTCCTTCAGGTAAGGAACTATTAATCCCCCGTCCAAGATTGTAATGAACAATAACACAAACCTAATAACATGTAAGAATCAATCTCATCAAACCAAATGGCAAAATGCAAGTTTACAGCTTTGACCTGTAAAAGCATCAGGTAACAATAGCAGTCAATACAGTCCAGGAAGCTCTAAAGGAAGAAAAGATTTAATGGAGGAAGAGCTGAAATGAGACGACCCTTTTTCAGTTTTTCCCTTGTGGTGCGTCCCAAAATCCTCACTGGATGTCACAGAAAAAGTTGTATAACAAACTATGTAATGAAATGGGACAGTGGCTTAGTGACAATTTCCATACTTTTCTTCTGCCTGCCCCATCCGGCAGAAGTCTCTCAATCTATTTTCTTAAATATCTTTAACTCATTGTACTCTGCATAATCTAAATCTTCTTAGATCACTTCTCCCCTCCCTGTTTTGGGAAAGATTTGGATGTTTTTTGGTCTTTTCTTTTCATGGTTTTTTTTTTTTTTTTTTTTTTGCAAGCCCACACACATTTAACTGAGTGGAGAATTCACTTCAAAAGCTTCCTTTCAACTATTTATGAGCATATAAATAGCTATACAGGAACAAGTCAATAACTGGTCTAGTATACTTCCTGTTTCAAACAATGGTAAAAGTTGGGTATTTTGGGATGAAAATGTCCATTTTCCTGCATCTTTCTATAGCCTGATAAGCATGTGTGCACGTGTATACCCATATGTCTCTATATATAGCTACATCTATATTTACATATGTGCACACACATCCCCACATGAATGCTTTCTTAATGTATAACTCAATAAAATACTTAGGCTAACTTCCGGGCACATAAATGTAACAGCAGCTAACTCTAACATTTCGAGTTCAGTAACTCTTAAAAAGGTTATTTCTTGTGTTCTATGCCTTTAATTACTTATTTTATATCAGTTACTGACATGCACTTTAACCTACACTTTCTCAACTTCAATTTTATAGTCATTGTGCAAGCCTGCAAGCATGCAAACCTGCAAGCATGCAAACCTGCTTCTGCAGCTAACAATTGTTTTTTAAGTTTTGAGGTTTAAGCTATGAAGCTATCATACTCCAAAGATTTTTCTGTACCTTTCAGGGGAACATCTCAGAAAAATTACCTATAATGGCAGGTAAATTCAAATATATGAATGTAAGACCCCACTAATGCATTTCAGCTGGATCAGTAAATGGCTGAAATCTGGTAATGTGGCTTCAGTTCTATGCACTCAGAGCATTGTCTTCTGAAGTTAAGATATTCCCAGCACGTCAGTTGTCTGGAAATAGCAATCTAAGTTAGATCTCCTCCAGCACAAACATCTTCAAATTTAAAAATCACAGTAGGAAATCAGAAAGAATCACTCCCCAGGGGCATCTGTATTTTCAGTGAGACATCAGCTTTTGTCTGTGTCATTTCTACTCATCATCTAGTTACAGACCAGTTTAACACGTATCTTGTAGCTGCCACTCTGATTAACCAAAATGTCCAAAGTATTCAAACCATTACTCTTTTTTTTCAAGGCTCATTACCAAAGTTACTTACAACAAGAGTTCAGTTACACTTACAGAGAAACAGGAAGATGTTCTTGACAAACTCTTAAAGCCCTTGCAGCAGCTAGAGGCTCTTTTCCTCAAATTCATGTTCTTCATAGTCACACTTGTGCTCTTTTTTCTGCAAACATCAGCAGGGATTTGAGTACCCTCACCAGGAAGGAAAAGGTGCCGGAGAATTTGGTTCAGCTGGGGTGTCGGTTCTCTGTTTGTCTCTTTTTCAGCTATGTCCACCCAATAGCTTGAAAACACAATAGCTTATCAATGTATTATTTTCTTGCTTAGTCAACCTTTTTATCGCTTCTGCGTATCTTCTGCTACATCCGTCCCATTCACCTCTGCATTGTTATGCTTTCTCAAGGCACCTTATCCTTCCATGATTAACATGAACACAAAAACACTTCCTTTGCACGTATATTAGTCTCTTTTCTCAGAGTAACTGGTTTATGTCAAAGCTTAAAGTTATCTATTTTCAAAAAATCGGAATTTTAGAGTGGTTTTAAAATAAACATTTGTAGAGCATACCACACTTTCTTACCTGAACAGAGTTGCTCAACTTTTGTGTAGTTTAAAGCTAATATATCATTAACCCATGCGATGATGTCATGTCTGCTCATAGTCTCTTGGGTTATAGAGGTAGAGTACACGTTGACCGCCATTCCCCAACTAGGAAAAAAAAGGACAAAAAACAGTTTTGGCATTTTGATCGCTGTTTTCTGGATACAACAAATTTACACTTCCTGTGTAAGAGAAAGAAAAGCTGCATCACTGCACAACCTTCTCTTATGTACTGAGATGGGAGATTTAATTTTTATTCGTTGATGCTATATAACCTCCTCAGTGTCCTCTTGGAATATATGAACATATTTCTCTGGCTGTCACTGAATTTAAAGAACATACAAATCTACAGTATTCTGTTTAATGCTAATAAGGTAGGAAAAAAAGAGTAAGACATAGCCTGCAGATATACAGTCAGGATCAGAGACCTGGGATTTGTCACGTAGTGCTGCACAAATATAGTGATCTGACATATATCTGTCAGCTTTTTGCTGCTGCAGGATGATTAGACTGCCTAAACGAGTATTTTATTTTCAGATATCTTCTAGAAGATGCAGCAGTTCTACTACCTCAAATACTGATTTCTCACTGGTTCAGGGGCCTTCTGGATCACTAATTCTGTTTCCAGCAATCACAGAATGAATACCAGGCAATCTTTTTTATCAATTCACCAACTTCTATCCTGAAATTAACTGAGACTTGCACCCACAACCATCCGGTTGGAAAGCTGCTGTGGAGCCCGATTCCTCTAAACTGTTAGGAACATTCCCTCTTAGCTTAAACCCATTTGTTCTTCTGCCAATATTATCCTTCAGCTCTAATGGCTTTTTCTTCCCCAGAGTTGATTTCATAATGTGTTAGGAAAAGCAGTCAGTCTGTCCCAATGCCCAGGTAGTACAGAGCAACCAAATTAATCCTCCGAGTATCTTATCAACTCAGACCTTCACTTCCTGCTCATGCCAGCAGTCCCCCTTGAACATAGCCAAACAGTTTCAAACTGAAATACTGGGACAATGTTTCACCAAGACCTTGTGAAACAGCACTCTGTGCTGAAAATTTTCATAGCCACATCTTCGTAAGAAGATTCATCTAGTTAGTTAAGGTCCTTCCTGCAAGCAAGTAATTCATAGTAGCTTCTATCATCAGCCCCCAAGTACACAGGCTGGAAACACATGCTGCTGGATTTTATGTTCTGTTATTCTACACTAGTCACATCTTCCTGTTACAAGACATTACAAAGAGAAAAGATGGGCACATCCAAGGTCATCTCATGGACAGTTTCAAACAGCTGAACCAAAATCATTCATGAAAAGAGTAAACAATGTTCCCAAGACTAGTGGAGTTCAGGAAGTCTGCTAGTAACAATCCAAGTATGAGGTGAATGTATGACTATTTGATCAGAAATGATCAAATAGCCTAAATAGCACCATTATTCTTGTAAAGAAAGGGTTTGATGGGGACTGCACACCTATTTCTCTAGTGACACTGTGTAGCTAACACTTAACTGGCTAGCTTTGGTGCCAGTTCTGATACCTCAGCCTTGCACCTCAACTTCCTCTCTCAATGAAGGAGAGCAGGAACTCTTCTGTGGGATCTGAGGTCTGCATTGACAATTTGCAGAGGTAACCATTTGAAGCTTAATAGACAGTTCTGCAGAAAACACAAAGACCACAGGGGTTAACTCTGCCCATAGTGAGGTATGCTGGGGCAACTTAGGTAAAATGTGTGAAAAAACCCCCACCAGCATGAAACTTGACTCAGTAACACGTAAGTATATACGGGCCTTCTACACACTCCTGTATGGGCACTTCTGAACTACAGATCAAATCAGCCTGTCCTCCCTCACTGTTCAGTTCTTCCTACAGGCTCCCAGACAGCACAGCTAATTGCATGAACTGTACAGCGTTGCATTCACTGTAACACTTAGCAAAGGTCGTTTTCTTGGCACACGCTAAGTGCTTGGATTGAATTGAGCGCTAGGAACAAAGTTTGAGAAACTGGGAGTGCCCTTTTATTCTTAAAACCACACCATAATGGCTAGCCATGAAAGCTTAGAGTCAACATCAGGATGGAAGGGACCGAGCAGACAATCAGCACCTTTGTTACTAATAGCTTCTGAAGTTAACACCGCCACTGCTAGCATGGTTTTTACTTTGTTATTTTCAGGCTTTTTATATAGATAAGAAACTAACAGAAATACACTATCACTGTCACTATTAAACTAACATGTTAAATATTGTTTTTAAGATCAGTTCAAGTAACAGCTTAACAGTGAATTTAACATTCATTTAAGATTCAGAATACTGGGTTTAATATGCAAGCAGCCGTTCAATATGGAACAGTCTGCTAACTTTTAAACAAGCTATTTAGATGATAACAATTGAAATAAAGATACTCTGATCTGTGATTGCCACTACTTCATCCAATTTTAATAGGCCTCTCAAGGCCTGGTAGAACTCAGAACAACCATCAGCTACCAGTGGTTAAAGAAGAAAGTGTACTCTGTTAAAAAGATCAAGAAAATCCACACGCAGGAAGGAAGCAGAAATTCCTCCTTCACCCTTTTCTAAAAGCAACTGCAAAGAGAAAGACCTATCTTTCTGCAGAACAACAACCAGCCTCCTTTGCTGCAGTGCATGGGGTGGGGAACTCCAGGAAACTGTGAGTAAATGAATAACCTTGAGCTTTACAATGATACCTTGAAGGATATCTGTAATATAACTTACACTGTGCCTGTGAATGAATTATTGCAGTCTATGGGTCAAATGCAAGTCCAGGCTATTTGTCAGAGACAATAGCTTCACATTTATACACACAGGTATGTGTGAGGGTGGACCAACACAATTTTAAACCATATGCAAAATTAATCAGAACTTTCAATAAAAAAAATAAATCAATAACATGCCAGTGCAATTTATTCTCAGTGACGTGTTAACACATGTCTGAACCTGCATGTCCTCTTCTCCTGAAGGGCTTCGCTGTGCCTTTTGCATCCGCTGTCACGCACCCTCCTAATGGTTACAGTTTAAATAAACTCAGCTGGGAAGGTTTCCTTTAGTGTAAACATGTTCCTATTTGGTGCTTAGATACACATATATCCTGTTTGCCACACAGACAGACCTTGAAAAAAACCAAAGGAGAAGAAGAACAAACAGACATAGGTGGCAGAGCCATGGCCAGCAACAGACAAGAACAACTGTGCTTGACATCCACAGCTGGGCTTAGGCTTCAGGACTGTTCCCTAAGTGCTGAACTACTTTGAAAAATGTGATCCAAATTCAAAATGCATTAATAAACATCTGTAAGGCAATGCTACAGAACAGCTGGACAGGTGGAGATACACAGAACATACTCTGAACAGCCAAAGAAGCTAACAACTTGATCATATGTCTTAATATACCTCTACTTCCCAATGACATTATTTACATTTTCTACTTGTTAGGCTTTCCTTGTTTAGACTGAACACTCTCAAGAATAAGATACACAAGGCTGAAAAATAGCATCTACCTAAGACCTTCCACCTTCCATAGAGATGCCTGGCATCTCTAGTAGCTAAAAACAGATTGAAGATAGCACATCGTATTCCCACTTCAGAGCACACAGGTGCTTAAAAACTTCTGTTACAGTACTGCCTAACTAGAGAGGGCTCTCCCTTGTTTTACTTAGGAGAAACAGAAAATAAAATCCTCAGTAAATACAAACAAGCCATTGGAGAGTCTTCACATGGTAGTCCAAACCATTCGCTTTACACAAGCACAGCTAAGCACCACAAAGCTGAGTTCAGAGGATTAGTTGGGTGCTGAAAATCATGTATATGCTTAAGCAGTTACCTCAGTCAGAAATACAGTGGCTCAGCGTGTCTGATGGTAAACATTACACCCAAAGGATTATTAATTTCTTAAGACACTACCTGCAGCACCGAACATTCAGCTATTAGACATTTTCCACTGCTCTTGTTACAGATAACTGCAGCTGTCACAAGGTGCTATCCAGCTGTGTTTAAGGACAGTTGTGCAAGAGGCATATATACTTTACTTTCCTGCGGAGAGACGAATAATTGTTGACAGAAGCAGCACTGTATTATGGCAAACCAGTAATAATGGCAAGGCTGAAAGAATTACAGCAATGAATCTATCTGTAGTGTAAATACCCATCACGTGTCCTCACCTCTGAACCCACAAGGCCTTCCTGTTTCATACAATTAAGCATGGTCTGATGCTAAGTTTTTAAATGCAGTAGAAAGCCTGTGTGACAGGAGTCTCCTGGAAGCTGGCATCTGATAGCATCAGGATAGATATCTCTAGTAAAACAGAAGATAACACACCAAAATTTACTGAAGCAGAAGATATAGCAGAAAAGCTAAGACAGCAAGACTGCTGTAGCTCCTGTTAGAAAGGCTTTCTAGATCAAAGCTACTGCAAAACAAAACCCCCTGAAGGAAGAAACCTGACAGCCTCAGCAGCTGGATCCCTGTTGTAGAAGGAAAATTCATCCTTTTATACCACCCTGAAACAGCAGCTGAACCTTGCCTGCTTTTTTAACATTCTCTGCATACAGCTTTAGCCATAGTCATTAGAGGCCAGTTATGCTTGAGGTTGTCTTCACTGAAAGGAGTGCGGAGGACATATAAACAACACAAAAAGCTCCTATACAATGCTGATAGGAGCGTTCTTACTCTACTTTTTGACTTATGCTGTATTCTTCCAGCAAATTCAATTGCCATGGCCAAAGGCTTTATGCCAGAGCTTTGCAACTGAAGTGATATTTGTAGCAAGCAGCATAAAGGCTCTGTCTAGTCAGAAACTCAGAGCTACTAAGATTAATCACAAGGAGATATTGCCATGGGAAAAAAAAAAAACAACATATAAGGAGAAAAGAATCCTGTGGTTGTATTATTGGAAGAAATTCACACCTTTTAAAATGCTGAATGTTAAATTTCTTGTGTGCTGTTCCCATGTTACTACATAGCCTTGAAATGTAAAAAAAAAAAATAAATAAAAATAAAATATTATCCATATTATTATTGATTTACTTCTTAATGCCACGTTACCTTTACAACATGGATCTGGCTTGACAACCTAAAATGATTTGTGAAGCATGCTACAGAG